TGTAACATTGGATTCAAAAATCCTACATTCTTTACATGGTTAGAAACACAATCTGGAATAGGATCAGTTGAAGTAGGCACTGCATTCACTTATTTAAAGGGCTTGGAAATATCTACAAATATAAAAACTATACGATTGTTCTATGATGTTTGTGGGGGGAAGAACAAAAATAGTTATATTATCCATATCCTAATACATTGGCTTTTAAACAAATTATCCTTCAACGTAAAAGAAATAACATTAACATTCCCAGTAAGAGGCCACAGGTAATGACACTTCCTCAACCATATTATGAAATTTATAAAAAACATGGGACATTGAAAGTTTTGGAAAAAACTGGATTCTGTATGATATCAAAGACCTTGAACAATATTCAGTAAAAAGAATTATTATAAAAAAATCTCGATGATCTGGTTGCAATATTTACACCCACGACACATCGTTTTGAAATAAATGAAGAGCCAATTAATCTTCTAAAGCGAGGTAAGCGCCATTGCCAAAATGTTGCATAATTACGTAACTAATTTACTCGTCAAGCAGTTTGGTGACAGCTGAGTTGACTTAACGGAGTTAGCATTTTTAAAAGAATATTATTTTTGATCAAGAAACTACAATGACCAATGATGACGTTGAAAATCATCAGCATGATGAATCTTGTGATTGTTTGGAGCATGATGTTGATGTAATCAGAATATAAATAAATATACCTATCCTTTTTACTCTATGCATTCATAATCAAAAAGTGCTATACAGGCTGGTCCATTTAACGTGAAACAAGCGATTATCTCGCATTTTACATAAAAATGAACCAAATGAAAGTTGTTTTGTGCGAAGGGGGAAACTATATGACGATAACATTTTTTGACCATGACCTTATTTTCAAGATGAGGTTAAAATCCAGATGAGGTACATCGGGTGACCTGGCTCGTCGGAAATACCTTTGGAAAAAGGTTTAAGAGATTCCGACATTTCTCCGCCCTTGTCAATTTAACAATAGAATAACGCATAAAAAACAAGAATTCGTGGAACTGCTTATGTCGGCATTTTCAGAATATCGCTTTCAGAGACTTAATTGGTTGAATTGTTTTAAAATGTAACAAGTAAAACTAAATTTGCATAAAAACTGCTTGGCAACAAATTCTGAATTCATTTAATCGTTTTACATTAAGGCAAAGTATTTAAACTAAGTCATTAAATCATGGATACTCTAAGTGTGGCAGAAAAAGTCGAAAAGATTTTTATTTATGGAGAAAGTGGCAAAAAAGTTGCTGATAGTATAGTTTTGTATCGAGAACGTTTTCCTGATAGAAATACGCCTTCAAGAAGTACCTTGTACAGAGTTGTGAATGATTTCAGTAACACTAGAAATGTGGAATCAAGAAAAAGAAGTTAGCACTCGACGATTTGCAATTCACGCCGGAATATCGAAGACCAGCATTTTAAGAATATTAAAGCGCAACAAGTATCACCCATACTTGGTAGGTTAATGTTTGGTGTGGCATAATTGGTGATAAATTAATCGGTCCATACTTTATTGATGGTATGCTGAATGGCGAGAAATACCGAAATTTTTTAGATGACGTCTTACCAACATTACTTGTAGATTTGAGCAGGGAAGAAAGACAAAATATGTGGCTGCAAAATGATGGGTGTTCAACACATTTTTCACATATTGCACGTGAAGCTTTAGATCGGGATTACGCTAGGCGATGGATTGGAAGGGGAGGTCCAATTTCATGGCCTGCCAGATCACCTGATTTAGCACCTCTTGATTTTTTTTTGTGAGGCGTCCTTAAGGATAATGTTTATTGCGAAGTACCGACTAAGCCAGAAAACATGAAAGAGCAGATAAGAAATGCATGCAGAAATAGTAGCCAAGAAAACCTTTTAAGATGTAAAGAAAGTTTTAGTAGAAGGGTTAGTAAATGTATTGAAGTGGGTGGGGAAATATTTGAACATTTATTATAAATTTTATACTTGTTGTTGATTAATAGTATAGTTTAATCATTTTTGTATAAATAAACAATATTTAAAACTATGTATTTGAATAAAAAAATTAGTTAGATTTTGTTTACAAAAGATGTTTCGCCGTCGTACTGGCAAAACCACACGATAATAGTTTTATTTTTTAAATCATTTTACTTCTATCCATAAATTCAGATTTTGCAATCAAAAACATAGGGTGCCATTTAAAAAATTGATCGTGACCTTCATGTGACCTTGAAAATAAGGTCGAGGTCAAAAATGTTATCGTCATATGGTTTCCCCCTTCGCACAGAACAACTTTTATTTGGTGTATTTTTATGTAAAATGAACCGTTTTCGAGATAATCGCTTGTCTCACGTTAAATGGACCACTTGTATATCCTACCTATTTCCATTTCCATTTTTTAACGTTAAATTTTATGCTTTTTAGTAATGATACAAAAAAAAAGATATTTTACCCTAAAAATTTGTGGCTTTATAAAAAATTATTTTAATTTAAAAAATATATATCTGCACATACATTTTTCAATAGCTATAATTTTTTTTTAGATTTACGAAATTTCAAATTTTTTCTGCCACTTTTAAATAAGTTATCACGTCATCACTGTACATAATGTATACCCATACAGGAGTATCTGAATGTGTCTGTTTACAAGGGTAGGTTGAATGTACAAATAGGGTCAAAACGTGCCCTATTATGAGTTAAACATATTTCCCAAATTTCATTTTCCTAGCGTTTATGGTTTTTGAGAAAAAGAAATTAAACCAAAATTTTCCGCCATTTTTGGAGGGGCGTAGTTCCGTAGGGGAGTCGAATTCGCCCATAGTTCATATATCAAAGTACCTTTAAAATTCACTAAAGAATCACCCCTTGAAGTTTGTTACAGTCATTCAGATACACCCTGTATATTGTCTTAAAGTTTCATGATTTCCCATTCATTGGAGGTAGAAAAATAGCAGTAGCCATATGTAACTATGACAACCAGTTGTTTCAGATACTTTATTAAGAATGATTAATTTTTGATATCTGAAACTGTTGGTTGCCATGGTTAGTTACTGCTATTTTGCTATCTCAATTGAATAGGACGTGTTTAAAAGGATTCAGGTCAGGACTTAACGCCGGCTTCCATGACCTTCATTCCACGATTTTATTATTGCAAAATCGCCTTTATTGCAACCCAATAAGCCACCCTGTCGCCCTAAATTTCGCAATAATAAAACACTACACCTACAGCTAATCAGTAGGGCCCGGAACTTTTGTAACTGTACGATACGATTTACCCCCTCCACTTGTTCTCCTAGAAAATGATCGGTTGTTATTGACGACCGACGATCGGTTTTTTATTGCGCATCAATGTCAACATTGTCAACTGTCAGTACGATTTCACTGTTGTCTAAATGTGCAGTATTCGACGCTTTTCATCCGCATAATTTCGTCAAATTTGCTATTTATCTTTCTTTAGTTACCTTTAATTAGAAGTTGGAGTTCTGTTTGAGTTCGTATTATTGTTTTTTTTTAAGAATTGTTTTTAGTTTCCCGTTGTGGTAAAATTGTTGTTCGGATTTGAGAATTGTTCAACAAATTGCCGAAAACAATATACCTTTAACTCTTAAGGAAAAATATGGTTCAATAGCTCAGTATTTTATTTATGCTCTATTTACAAGTTGTGATGTTGAAAGATTATTTTCTAGGTACAAACCAAAGGTACAAACTCATTTTAACGTCAACTAGAACGTCATTTACAGAAGAAAATTTAGGGATGGTTGTTTCAATATGCGTTAACAGCAATTTTTTTTATATCCGTATCCGATTTGTGATTGATATTACAAATCGGATCATGTTTTTTTGAATTAAAGTTATAAAATATATTTTTTTTTAATATTTTCAAATCCGTACTGACAGTTGACACTGACGTGTAATAAACCGATTGTCGGTCGTCAACAACAACCGATGAGGTGAGTTGACTTGACGCCACCGCCTTGTTTTCTAGGAGAACAAGTGGTGGGGGTAAATCGTATCGTTCCGTTACAAAAGTTCCGTGCCCTACTAATCAGTTTCAATCATCCCGTTCATCCACGATCCTAACCAGCTCACCCTTCCCCTCTTTGTCCCTCCTGCCTTCTCCCCGTTCTCCTGCTATCCACACACTCTTGCAGGATATGCTGCAAGGAGTCCTCCTCTACTTCACAAACACACAACCCATTCATGCTTGTCAACATCAATCTCCTAAGATACACACTAAAAGGCCATGCCCTGACATTAACTGGACATGGTCACTTCACTCATCAATCCCTCCTTTATAAATCCATACATATCCCTTCCTTTGTCCGATTCTATCCACCTCCTTTTCCTCGCTTTCCTCAGACATACACTCTTTACCTCTCCTTCAACGTCACCTGACCTAGCCACCTTGTCCACTCTTTTCATTAATTCTTCCCCCTTGTTCCTCCAAACCAATTCCATTATCCTACAACAACTTTACCAACTCATTCACATTCACGCTCCTGCTCCTTCTCAGCCATCCTAGCGCTGTTTTGTTATCGTTGAATGTATATGCAGTTGTGGGAAATATTACGTTGGCCAAACAGAACGTAACATTGAGTTGCCGCATCAAAGAGCATGAGAGGTATGTCCGACTGAATAAGATCCAGCAGTCGGCAGTCACATAGCATTACCACAAAAAAAGACACAACATAGATTTCAATAAGACCAAGATGTTAGCCAGAGCTGGAAATTATTTCCAAAGGATGAAAAGAGAGGCGATCGAGATTCATCGACATAGGAACAATTTGAATAAAGAAGCCGTCTGGGAACTTAGCCACACATGGAAAATGCTAGTTATCTCAACGAAACCTTCTCCATACGGATTTAACAAAAACAACTTAGTTGACAATTAGTTAGTAATTAGTATTAATAATTTTTTCATCTATATTTTAGCCGATTTCGTCACTTCGAGTTTTTTCAAAAGACGCACGGTTTACCCCGAAAGTTTCTAGGTCTAGCTTTAGTTCAATTAAAATCGGCCCTAAAAGTACTTATAAGAGTATCTTACTTTTTATCCTTTATATTCTTTGCGACTTGTTTTAATTCTTCAGGGGAAAACATTTCTATATTATCTAATACTGATAATAATTGATCTGGTTTTGATAAATTTGGAACATGAAGGATTCCAGTAAATGCAGATAACATTTCCATGTCTTGTAAAATTTCTCTAAAAAAGGGTTAAATTAAACAATTACTCAAATAATATTATCTACAAGATTACCTTCGACTGCTAGTACAAAGAACTAACAACTTTTTTCCTGGTGGTGGTTCTTTCTTCAATAACACCAACAAAGCTTGTAATGTTAAATTAGAATATCTAGGACCAATTGGACCGTAATCTAATAATCGTTCAATATTATCAACAACAATACAACTCAAAGTTGAACGATACGCATCATCAAACACCTTCAAAAAATAATACAAAAATCGTAATCTTCAAATTAAAATTTAATTACAACCTTTCTAATATGGAGACATTTTGCAGTTTCCGTATATCCAACCATTTCTTCTGGAGAACAAACCTTAACGAATGGAAAATCGGAATTTTTCGCTAATTGAGCAGCCAAAGCGGTTTTCCCAGAATTTGGTGGACCTTCAATTAATACAGACACCAAACCAGCGGTGTCTTCGGCTTTAGCTTGTTGAATATATAACATTCCATCTTCTAAAATGTTCTTAACAGGTATCCCCCAGTTGATGATACCACGCGCTAAGAACCTTGAAAGAATTTCTTGAGCAGTACCAAAAGCCTAAGTCGACAATTCGTAAATTATCATTTATATTATTTAAATTAAAAACTTCGTACCGGTTTAATATCATTTTCTAAGGCATGTAAGAAGTCGCCTCTGTTTACCATTAATTTTTCTAATGCTTCTGGATCAACCTCAACTTTATTCGACGCTTTTATCAATCGATTCATCGCCGTTGATTGAGCGGCACGAACTAAACCTTCCAATTCAGCCCCAGAGAAATTTTTTGTTAACGTTGCTATTTCCTAAGTAATATTAAAAATTTAGATTAAATGTTTTTAAAAAGAAAAAAAGTGATTTTTTTACCTTACAATCGACGTCTGAATGAATTTTTTTATATCTCCTCATTTTTGCTGTGTGTATATCTAAAATTTGTACACGACCCTCTTCATTAGGAAGACTAATTTCAACTTGAACTTCTAATCTACCAGGTCGAAGTAAAGCATCATCAATCATATCTTTCCTATTAGTCATACCTAAAAAATTATAAAATAAATACATTTATCAATAATGTTATAGAAGGGGAGAGAGTGAAGATAAAACTAGAAGACATGAAGAAATCAATTAAAAGATTAAAGAACCAAAAGTGAACCAGGAAACATTAAGGCTGAAGAACATGCTTTACAGACAAAGTAACCACATAAAAAATTCTTACCAATAACTAAAATATTATTTAATTGTTCAACGCCATCAATTTTTGATAATAATTGATTAACTACAGTGTCGTGAACTCCTGTATTTCCAGCAACTGATCCTCTGGCTTTACAAATAGCATCAATTTCATCGAAAATGATTATATGTAAACCACTGTTGGGTCCAGCCTACAACAATCAATTATAAATTAATGAGTAAAAATAAATCATTAAAAATATTACCCTTTTCTCTTCCTCTTCAGCTTCAGCAAATAACCTACGAACATTCGCTTCAGATTCACCAACATATTTATCTAAAATCTGTGGACCATTAACGATTTTTGGTTCTCTAGCATTTAACATTTTTCCAATTTGTCGTGCCATCAATGTTTTACCAGTCCCAGGAGGACCATATAATAAAATACCTTTTACATGTTTACATCCTGCAAAATAAAGTTTTTATAAAAATTGGGTTTTAAATTTTTTTAATATACACCTATCCCTCGTTTTACACGATGCTCTATTTACACGTTTTCGCTTTTTTTTTGTATTTACTAATTAGTTATAACTACGTTGTTTTTATTTATATATTTCATGTGGGTACAGAAACAGGTCGAACCCAATAATACTGTACCACAAACAACCAATTGTATACAAATAAAATAGAATTACAGTTCACAATAATAATAATAATAATGAATTAACATTAATGGTACAAAAGTGATTCAAAGGAAAAAAACTAAAACTAAGTTTAGGTGATATAAATATATCATATATCAAATATCAAATGAACGCTCGAGGCAACACACCAACTGCAGCAAGGAGCAGTTTTTTAAATGCATATAAAGAATGCTGAAACAGATCTATGTTAACACGATTTGCCGATCTTGCCATTCTCAATAAAGGAGAGTTTTGACAGGCATAGGTTCTAGGAGTAGGTGTCATAAATAGAAAATCAAAGCGAAGTAATCGAGGAGGAACGTGAACACATATAGAACCAACAAGCATTGGAGAATCACACTTGTGCAAAAGTTTGTACAAATATAATATATCCCCACAGAAGCGACGCTGGTTGAGGGTTAACATACGAAAAGAAGTGCAAGTTGATTCGTAATCAATGTATTGAATAGAAAATTTAAAACAAAGGTATTTGAGGAATTTAGATTGAATACGCTCAATTCTAGATTTATACGAGAGATACTGAGGATTCCAAACGACACTGCAGAAGTTAAGTGTGCTGTAAACATAGGCAAAATAGAGATTTCTAATTGCAGCAATGTTTGAAAAAGCTACCGTTGATCTCATAATAAATCCTAACATACGCCAGGCTTTGGAGACAACAGTATCGATATGTTTATCAAATAATAATTTATAATCAAATGTAACACCCAAATCTCTAATAAATGAGACACGTTGCAACCTCTCACCAGCGACGCTATAATTGTAGTGGATTGTGTTCACCCTCCTAGAGAAGGAAATAACATTACACTTTGATAAGTTTAATGAAAGGCGATTATTTAAGCAAAAAGCATGTAGATTGTTTAAGTCAGATTGCAGTTTAGAACAATCAAGAGGTGAGGAGATACGGAGAAAGAGTTTTAAATCGTCAGCATACATTAAACATTGGGCATAATTAACGACGTCAAATATGTCGTTAACATAAATATTAAACAGTAAAGGGCCCAGATGGCTACCCTGTGGAACACCAGAAGGAACCGACACAGGATTAGAGAAAAAACCATTAACCGAAACAATCTGGCATCTCTCCTTCAGATAGGAAGCAAGCCATTGCAAAAGATTTCCCTGAACACCAAACTTCTTTAGTTTGAACAGAAGTAAGTTGTGATCCACCCGGTCGAAAGCTTTACTAAAATCCGTATAAACTGAATCAACCTGACAAGAATCATCCAGAGTAGATAAGATATACTGGGTATATTCAAGCAAGTTACTCTCCACCGAGCGACCAGCAAAAAAACCATGTTGTCTAGAATTGATTTTAGACTTAAGGGCAAAGAATAGACGTGCATGAACTACTTTCTCAAACACTTTCCCAAATGCTGGCAAAATAGATATGGGGCGGTAATCGGATATAGCACCACGGTCCCCAGATTTAAAAATGGGAAGAACAAAAGCCCGCTTCCACAATAAAGGAAAGACACCCATTATCAATGAAGCATTAAATAAAATAGTTAAAGGAAGGGACAGAGAGTGTGAACATTCCTTGATTAAAATTGATGGAATACCATCAGTACCTATACTGTCTGTAACCCTGATGCCCATCAGGGCCTCCTCAACCTCAATTCTGTCAAACTGCATCTGACTCAAAGGAAGGGTATCCATTTCTATACAATCTACATTCTGCTGGATTGGAGCAGGATCCACAAAAACCGAAGAAAAGAAATCAGCAAACAATGAGCATACTCCGACACCATCGCCGACAACAGTTCCATTCCATGACATCGTAGAAGGAATGACATCCGCACGCTTCTTAGACTTAGTAAAAGCCCAAAACACCTTTGGATCAGATTGCATATTACTTTCAGCTCTTCTAACATACTCCATGTAATTGTGATGGATTAGATACTTTGCACGACTCCTTAGAATTGAAAAAGTGAGGTAGTCAAGTCGGTTTCTAAAACGCTTCCATCTACAGTGCGCCCTCCTTTTCTCTCGAATTACTTTAATGGTACTGTATGAAAACCAACTGGGAAAACCCTTGATAGCTTTGCGTTTTAAAGGGACAAATTCGCGAATAGCAGTATTAACATAGTTATAAAAAATTTGAACAGCGTCATTGATATCACGACCAGCGAGCTCTGATTCCCAGTCAATTCCATTAAAGTACTCATTCAATTCAGGAAACCGGGCTTTTCTAAAACAAAAAGCATCACCATGATGTATAGATAATGAACGAGTAAATGAAATTGAGCAGGAAAACTTTAGAGTGGAGTGCGCACTGTCCTCAGGAAGCAATGGATCACTACAAAGAGATAATTGATGTACATCGGCAGAATTCGTAATAACAAGATCAAGTGTGTTTACATAAGAATTTTTATGATAATTTAGTTGGTTAAGTCCGCAAAGGGAAAGAACATCCAGAAATTCACTGGAGCGGGCGCTGACGGATCCGGAAGCAGTGGCGAAACCGGAATCCAGGTCAAGTGACCAGTTTAATTCAGGCAAATTAAAGTCTCCACAAATTATAAAACGATCATTAGGTTTACTTTCGATAATTAAGGTTAATTGATTTAAAAAATTATTTAGGGAAGTAATATTAAGTAATAGTAATGTTTTTGGTGACATTTTTATAATTTAATTAATATTTTAGAGTTTTTACCATGCTAAATGAAATTTTAAAAAATAGTATGAAGAGAATGTTATTTCTTTAGAAAGTAAAATTAATGTTGCTAATTTTACGCCACGAATGAAGTTATAATAAGAAAAATTTTGCAGCTGGATCTTCTACGAGTATGAGCACAACTTCATACCGAAGAAAACTAGAACCCGCTGAAAACCCTCATCAACTTCATGAACAATCTTTCTATTCCAACTTAATTGGCCTGTACTTGTTTGAGAATCATGATGGCCATGCAGTTATTGTGACAACGTGGTATGTTCGAATACTCTAAACCTTATTCATCCCTCAATTCTCATGCATAAATGAGAATACTCATGTCCAACAATATGGAGCAACTTGTCACACAATTACAGTTGCATTCAACTTTCTTAGAGAATTTTTTCCGAATCGCCTCATTAGTTAAAATGGGAATATTCATTGGCCTACACGATCGCGAGACCTGAGCGCGTGTGACTATTTTTTATGGGGATAACTTAAGTCTAAGGTGTATGAGGTACGGCCGGCAACAATACGAGACTTAAAAGTGCGGATTGAAGATGAAATTCAGAAAAATTACAGAATTTGTGGGCAATAAAATGTACACGTGCAGATTATTGGAACGCAAAAACCAGTGTTATTTGCTTTGCACACTTCAATGAAGGGGATTATGAAATAGATTTCAGTTCTGACTTTATACGAACCAAATTTTGCTGTAAATCTCTAACTAAATGTTAGCTTAATAATTAAAATTAATTATAATATTTTATGTAAATGTGTTTTATAGGTCTCCCCTTGGCGAAAAAACTCAAAAAAACTGCTGTACCTTCACTCAATTTGAGAAAAGATGAAGTTGAAAGTATAAGTTCACAGAGAAGGAATGAGAGAAAGATAATTATGGAAAACAGAGAGATAATACAACCCATACTAGTTGAAAATAAGAATACACTAGAAGAGGAGCCCGTTCATCAACATTCTTATAGCCAAAATGAATCTATAGATTATAAGGCAAAATATTTTGATCTCTTACATAAAACTAAAGAACTTGAAGCAGAGCTGTTGAACAACAAAAAAACTATTAAGTCTCTACGGGGTTTAGTTAATTATTACAAAAACCGTAGTATTTCAAAGAATGAAGTAGATCTTAAAGTAAAGTCACTCATCAGATCGTTTTTAACTTCAAATCAACTGAATTTAATATCAGAAGCGTGTAAACTGGACTCAGTCAGCCAGAAAACATACACATAGTTAAGAACGGAATCAAATTATCTATCCTCTTCCTTCATTTTCTTGTCTAAGAAAATATGCCGCTAAAATTGAAATTTAAGAAGGTTTACACTATACTTTTATTTGATGAAATAAAAGTTAAAACAGTGTATGAATATGATAAAGGCAAAGACAAAATAGCAAGCAAAATACTATTTTTAAATTGGAAGCAATCTATGATGAAATATTATTTGAAACAATAAGTTCATCGCACAATTTAAATTACAACGTTGTAGTTTGTACTAGTGATTGTGGAGGTAGTAGCCATGGTTGTTTATGGAAGGAGCTTGAAATAAACGTGCAATATATATGTGTTAAACATCCGAATACAAATGAGAATGTTTATATACATGTTTGCGGACGCTCCCCATTTACTTAAATTTACTCGAAACTGTCTGTTAAACAATGGATTTTTGTTTGATAATAAGGTATTTTCCAAACGATCTTTAATTGATCTGCAAAACTTAACAAATCAGGGATTAAATGTTTGTTACAAAATATCTTCCAAACACATTGATTGTGAAAATACCAAACGCCAAAATGTTAGAATGGCCTCGGAGTTATTATCTCACACGACTGCGATCGCTTTACAAGGTTATAAACCAGGACCTTCCGAAACCTTAAAAACTTTGGATCAATTTATTGTGAAAAGAAGATGCATGATCTTAATTTAACTCCCGATCAAGTCTACAATGCCGATGACAGTGGATTGTTTTGGAAACTTTTACAAAAAAAAACATACGTTTCCAGAGAACCACCAGATAGGAAATTGTCCAAGGATAGAGTTACCATTATGCCTTATGCCAATGCTAATAGTACGCATAAACTCAACCTATGATAGGG